CTACTATGATAAGGTACAATTTGCTATTAATAGGGCCCAAGAAATCGACATGTAGGCGTTCCCATACGTTTTTGGGGTGTTCCCACACATGTAGGTTACACTTAACAGGGCTCTGACGTACCATCAGACAGAGTGAACAGCTGTTGGCTAGATTCTCTATATCCGCATCTATGCCAGGCCACCAAAAGTACGATCGGGCCATGGCTTTCATCTTAGATTCTCATCAGTACTTGGTGCGTAGTTTGGCCAGCCATACAAAACATAACCTAAAACCTTGTTTAGCACAATGTCCCTTTTTGTCTCTTCTCTTACATTATTAAAATTAACAGGAATGTCATTTTCTTGAATGTATTGCAAATACGTGCCAACATAGTTTACATCGTCTGACTCAAAAGGAAAATCTCTTATATTCAAGGGCAATCTAGATAGGCAGTCGGCGTTGGCATTCGCCTCTGACCTCACGTACCTAATGTCAAAATCGTAATTAGTCAGGAAGAGCGCGTAGCGCTGAAGTCTGCTGGCTGCGTACGCAGGCAACCCCTTCTTAGGTCCGAAAATGGACAACAAAGGCTTATGGTCTGTAATTAAGACGAATTTCCTACCATACAAATATTGGTTAAACTTTTTAACCCCATACACAATACCTAGTGCTTCTTTATCAATGACGCTGTACCCCATCTCAGCCTTAGACAAGGTACGGGAAGCATAACAAATTGGCTTAACATTACCATCTTTCTGTACTTGACTCAACACACAACCTAAACCATAATTTGAACTATCTGTAGCCAACTGTACAGGTAAGTTAGGGTCATAGTGGGCCAGTATTGGCGCGGACACTAGTTTGCTTTTAATTAACTCAAAGGCTTGTCTACAAGGGGATGTTCATTCAAATACACTATCTTTTTTTAATAGGTTGTACAATGGTGATGCAATAGTTGCCAAGTTGGGTACATATTTACCGTAATAGTTAACCATCCCTAAGAAAGCTTTTAACTGTGTGACATTAGCGGGAGTGGGTGCATTTACTATGGCATTGACTTTAGATGGAGATGTACTTAGTCCATCCTTGCTTAACACATACCCTAAATACTCTATTGACTTACGGAAAAACTCACACTTCCGTTTACTCACAGTTAGCCCATTTGATTTTAGTCTACTACACACTTCATTCAATCTTTCTTTGTGGACCTCATTATTTTCGCCCGTGATCAAAATGTCATCTAAAAAACATACAACACCTGGAATACCTGTAAGAATTGATTCCATTATTTTTTGAAAAATTCCCGGAGCTGAGGCCACACCATAAGGAATTCTGTTGTACTTGAATAACCCTTTAGTTGTACTTTTGGTAGTTAATTTCTTTGACTGTTCGTCTAGACATACTTGTTGGTAAGCTTGGGATAGATCGATCTTGGAGAAAGTTTTACCTTTCTGCAAAGTATTGAAAAGATCATCTATTCGGGGTATCGGGTGTCTGTTTATTATTAATGAGTCATTTAGAGAGGAAGCCCGAAAATCTGCACACAACCGCAACTCCCCTGATTTCTTAATTACCGGAACAACTGGACTTCCCCATTCACTGTTACTTATAGGCGACAAAATACCCTCCTCCACCAATCGATCTATCTCAGCTTCAACTTTGTTTTTCAAAGCAAAAGGGATTGGTCTGGGCTTAGAAATCTGGGAACAACATTTTCTTTAAGTACTAAGCTAGCCGGTTCGCCTTTATAACAACCTAAGCTGTCTGTAAACACATCTGGAAATCTTTTGTAAAGGTCACTAGCAACATTGGATTCAATATCCCCCAAATTACCAAAGGACTGGTTTTGACTATAGCTAGGGCTTACATGATCACTGCTCTGGTTAGGTATTTTAATCACTACCCCAAGGTCACGGATCCAATCCCTCCCCATCAAGGGATTAGCTCCTCTAGGTACTACGTACAAGTTCAATTCTTTGTTGGTTCCCTCATACCTAACGTTTACTTTCATTTTGCCCAACACTATTGGTTGATTAGTATAAGAATTTAATACTAAATTTGTGTGTTGCAACTCGACAAAACTAAAATTATCCTTGTAACATTGCTCATTAATCACAGAAACACAGGCTCCACTATCAACTTCAAAATTAATAAACTTATCTTCTACTTTGACATTCACAGTAATAGGTTTGACTCTTTCATTGTTGCACACATCAGCTTTGTTTAATGAATAAATGTTTATAGAATCGTGAGTCCCTTCCGACTGTTCTCTAGGTAACATTTCATTACTGGCCTGATTAGCCACAAACATCTCATTGCTGCATTCCCCAGACTCGTCTATGTCCACATAGTCTGTTTGTAATTTCTCTTATTTCTATACTTAGAAAAATTTGGAAGTGACTTACCCCCAGTTGACTGACAAACCTGCGCTAAATGACCGGTTTTGCCGCACTTGTTACACTTATAACCGCGAAATCGGCACTCTGTGGCTTTATGATTGAGCTTTCCACAACAATAACACGTCACTTCTTTATTGCTCACTCCACTTCTTTCCTCCCTCCTGAAGTTTGAATGTCCCTGACGGACTTGATGATGTTGTTGTTGTTGTCTGCTTGGTGTCGTCAACATGGTGCGGGCGTCGGCGTCCTTCCGCCGTGCGTTGTAGTTCAGCGTGTATCCTCTGCTCGTGGTCCCGGCCGCCATCAGCGTCGCCGTCTCCCTGTCGGTCATCTCCATGTTGGTAGCAATGGCCACTGCCTTCTCGAACGTCAAATCGGTTTCGCCAAGTAGTCTTTTCTTGATAGCGTCACTCCGTAATCCGCTCACTAATCTGTCTCGTAAATATTCCGCTAAAGTATCTTAGAAATCACAGAACATTGAAAGCTCCTTAAGCTGCACGACGTATTCAGATATCGTCTCGTGTTCTCTCTGATGACGTAAACTAAATTTGTACCGTTCCGTGATTACTGAAGGTTTCGGGCTTAAATGCGTTTCCACTAGTCGAACGATTTCTTCAAAAGTTTTTTCCGTCGGTTTTCCCGGCGCACACAAATTTTTGACTAAATTGTAAGTTTTTAGTCCCATTACTGTCAATAACGTAGATAATTTCTTCTCCGATTTAATATCGTTCGCATCGATAAAAATTTCCAGCCGTTCGATGTAGGACGACCATGTCTCTTCCGCCGCGTCATACGCGCTGATGCTACCGATGAGTCCCGCCATTTTCGTTGCGCCGAACAGCTCGTCTATGAATAATGGCGTCTGGGTCACTTCCGACATACGAAAATATCACTTGTTGAAAATTCACTTTACTGAAATACGAATGAGTACAGTTACACCGTTGTAGAAAAATAAAGTAAAATGTTTGTAGTTACCGTCTTTAGCCGATATAGGCCTACCTTACTATACCGCTACAGTATTATGTTTCGAATTAATAACGCACTAGTTACACTACGATGGCGGCAGTCCTTACACTGCGCACTAACACCGTGAATTCGTAAACGTCCTCGTCGCCAAAATGTAATGTTCGTACTCACTGAACTACTTCTTAACACTACTTAAAGCACTTGCAAGACCGGGGTTAAAATAAGAAGGCGCATGGTAATGAACATGAATACCGCCGGTTGACATTAAAGGAGTCATGGAGTGTTACATATTGAAGCCGGTGTAGGTAGCGGGTAACTGAGGCCGAGGAGAAGCATCATACAGGACAGGTGGGGAATATGACGCTATCGGTGATTGGCTAATGTTCAACCAACGGTATTAATTTATTCAAATGAACTATACGTTACAGCACTGTTGCCAATACAAATATTAAATGTTAATGTTATGTTATAAATCAATATGCATATATTACAGTAAGTTATCAAATAAATAAGTTATGAGTGATAAACAGATTTCAGTACATAGCGTTTAGCTAAGAATGCATAGCCTAACCATAGCTAGGAATCTGGCTGATAATTTACATCAATATCACTACCTACTTCTTCAGGATCATCAACCAGTTCTTCAAAATCACTTAAATCTTCTTATAATGCACCACGTATATCACTACTTTTCATTTTTAACACTAAAACAATGATAAACGTAATAAAACACATCAGTCATCGGTCCGAGGTTAACCAAGCTGTTAACAAATACGCACGTCAGCTGTCTGCTACAATATTTTCGGAACTAAAATGAAAAGCGCTTAGAGACAGACCTCCGGAGAAAGCTCTGAATCTGTCAAATAAAACGATACCTAACTCGATCCAGTTCAATCCGAATTTGTCAGTCATAGAGCCTTCCCCGTAAACAGTGTTTGTGAGTCGCTGCAGTGACACAAAACACTACACAAAGTGTGTTATGTGTTGCTGCAGCGACAAATAACACTCGGAGGGTTAAGGCCTTAAAACAACGTAACTGCCCTTTAAATTGACACTCCACAATAGATGCAGCTGTAGTTGTAAAACGGTCACACCGTGTGCGGACAGAAGCTTTGTTTCAGTTGCAAACTGGTTTCAGACAAATGGTTTGCAACAGTTGTAAAACAGTCACACTGTGTGCGCTGGGCCTACGTATTGATTTTTTCAAATACTAATTGTTGTACAATTGGTTTATACAATACTATACATTGCGATGTTGCACCTTAACATCTCCTGTGATTGTGATGAATTGTCGTCTCCTGTGATTGCAGTGAAATTGAAACATATTTTGTGGTCCCGGAAAAATCGTGAATAACTCCTGCACACAGTATAAAATCGGAAACTTTTCCCATAGTTGGGGACATAATCGACTCCAGGTATCGTTTAAAAATTATTGACATCATGACATTTTTATCAACCAATCTTCGCAGACACCTTTTGCGATTGAAAATCGAACCACTAGCACACCTCAATTAAAAATGACCAATGCAAACTTGGGCCAAATCAATCTCTTGGGCCAACAGTTGTCCTGGACCTAAAAATTTCAGGGACCCCCAGAGTTCCTATTAAAACTGTAGTCGAATGAACATCAAAACAACATAATTTTAGTAACTTACAGGAATAGACATTTTGTGTTTGTTGTAAACACTGACAGTAGGCTTGGTGAAGCCCAGGATTTTCCCGCTATCATCCATCCGAATGAAGTTTGATATCACTGTTGGTTTGAAGTCTCGAAGAGTGTAGTTGACGACTTCGCCGAGACCAGCCGACAGGACGACCACAGGAACTTGGTGCTTTGACAGGAGATTGAACATATCTGTACATCCATCCCTGTAGAAGAATAGTTGTTGAGCTAAATTAAACGGACAACTTATCGTAACTAAGTATCACTCAAGTTACAACTTTCAAAAGTAACAAAACCAAGGGAGGAAATAAAACTATATACTTGAACTAAATTAACAACATCCATTTTGAATAAAAGATTTTCTACAGCAGGTCAAAATAGATCGAATGTATATATACTTCAGAATCCAAAAGTCTAAGATAGTATAATAGAACAAAACTTAAAACCCAAAATACACAAAAAGCTAGAATGAGAATGAGATTTTATTTGCCAGTGAATATGTCATACAAATACATTGGCACGTCTTTAATTTATTCATGACATTAATTAAAGTCCAGTGATAATTTTAATTTGGAAAAGAATATATTGACGAACATAGAAAGGCATCACAGTCTATGATAGGTTAAAGCTCTGATTGATAATGCTGTGTGATAAGATTTCATTAATCCTATAATCACCTGAGAGGAGTATTGATAGAATCCACAGCCTCCTCGATATCTTTCAACGTGATATTTTCTCCAGCTGTAAGGATTTCGTGATCGTCCCACCACTGATCGTAAACTCGTTGTAACTCTTCTTCAGTCTTCTCTCTTGATACTTTAGGCCCATACTTGGCTTCCAAGGCTTTGCATCCATCCCGGTACTTTTTCGATAAACTCTTCGCACTGGCAAATATTTCTGTGAAAACAATTAATTGAAAGTTTAACAGAGAATTTCAGGTCTGTTCCATACTTATATTTTATAAATGATAGTGTATCAATTATTTAGGTAGGTACCTACACAAATTTGTTATGTTCACAATGTATTTTTATGTAAAACCTATGATATTTTGTGAGAAGATAATTATGTAGACGTCCTTAAATTTCGATATTGTGATAATTTATTTTACAAGTTCTCTAAAAACATCTTTGATATTTTACACATATTGACAGTGTAACTTTCCACACCATTACAGCAAAAGATAGTTCATATTCTGACAGTAAAGCTTGAAGAAAGTATCTGGAAAAATGTTTAGCTGAAATGCCAATTAAAATTTACAAATGAAGTTATTTAAAAGTGTACCATTGAATGTGGACCCATTTAACTGCATACATTTAACAGCTCTTGAACTACAAGCTTCTTTAAAGGAAGCTTAAGTTGTATCTGACACTACTTTTTTTATTTAGCTGTAGCAAAAGCTGTTTTTTTCCAATAAATAATATCTGTATGTGTGGCGAGCTATTTTTTTTTTATGTACCCTTTCCAACAGTTATAATGACTCTTAATATATTACACAAGAACAAATACTGAAGACTTAATGGGCTTTTATGGGCTCAAGGACAAATCAATTATTTAACTGCCGCTGTGTCTGAATATGATAATGAATTCTACAGAATATGAATTCTAGACATTACCATACCTAAGGAGTGAGGCGTTGGTTTCCCATCGACAATAGATTTTGTAAGGGTGGAGTCAAAGTCTGCAATAATCTGAAATAATAACGCTTTTAAACTTAGTAAATAGTAAAAATAAACATGTAAATAGCTTAAACAAACAAAGATAATAGCCATTAGCTTTAATTTTTTATTTAGGCTATATCTTGAAGATTAAATTCTGCATTAAGTATTGAAATTATTTACCAATTGTCTAAAAAAGAAACTAGCGCCAACAGATGCAAGTTCTAAGTATGCCTATACAAGAGACAGAAAATCCCAGCATTAAATTACAACCGAGTTACTACACATGGAATATAATAGATTAAAAATTTATTTTTTACTAATACAATTTAAGATGATTCACCAATTGTGATTTTATAAAACAATAAAAAAAAAACACTAACCTTACCTGAAGTTTGTCTGCTTTTCCCGCTACTAAGATGTTCAATTTATCATTCAATTGATCTACATCTCTGATGACGACGTGATCTTGATGAAGCTGATCAACCTGCAACAGATATGGTTTATAGTTTGATTATTAATTACTGCAAGATATAATAATACCCCTTCTGCAGCAAACCTGCAGACTAAGCAAATTGCCATTTGTATGGATAATTTTCCATGAAAATATTTCCTTAAAATTATCAGATTTATTTCCTATTTAAATTATATGAATTTTAATGAGTACTCAGGTTAACTGCCTCAGGGAAGGTAATGTGGTGTGTTTTTTCGGTCCTTTGGTATTATACCGACCACAGCGATAAATCAACTTCCAAATAAGATTTTAATTAGTTTAAATAACAAAATCTTCCTAAACTGACCTAACCTAAAACCAAGGACTAAAACCTGAAAAAGAGGTTGTCTCAGTCGCCCGACAACCTGGACGGTGCTGCTTGTAGTTCACACAGCTGCCACCTGTCAAATTCTTTGTTTGTTGTTCGTTTTTCTGTAAGTTCTGTGCAAATAAATAAATGAAAAACAAACAACAATAACAAAGAATTTGACAAGTAGCAGTTGTGTGAATTAAAAGCAGCACTGTCTGGGTCGGCGGGTGACGTCATACGCGCGACTCAGGCAACCTCTTTTTCAGTAGCTGTGACCTAAAAAATAGTCCACCCTTAGGTTGAGTTAGGTTAGGTTAGGTTATAATTCTTAGGAGTGGTCGTTATAATACTAAAGTACCGTTGTTTCTTTGTTGAAATGTGGATAGCTTAGTATAAAATACAGAGAATTGCCAAATTTGATTAAAATAGAAAGTTACATCCAAAACATGCAAACTACAACAGTTTATTTAAGTATTCTCCATGAGAATAACATTAGAATTTTTTATATAGCCTCCTTTTGTAATTTCATAAGTAGACAATAGGCATACCACAACACTTCAACCTACTGCCCTTTTAAGCTCTACAAAATAGTTTGTAAAGAAATTGGGAAATTTTATGTTTTTTGGGTCAAAAACCAATTTTTAACCCATAAACCCCGCCCCTACTTAAATCTGATCATGCAAACTCATTCAAATAAATGTTGGTTTACATGTTACCAAATTTAATCAACATTGCATAATTTTTGCTCGAGTTATGCTAGCAGACACATATTTGTAAGTGCTCGATTTATAAAAAGAGGTGCCGGGACTGTACCGTAACCAATTTAATGTGGTTAGTAACTACCTATTTATGCCAATATTTTGATCTTTCCGAAAGAGAAGTGCCAGAACTCTGTTCCCTCACAAATTGAGCAATGCATATCGCTCATATATATGTATATGTATGACTTTTATCGGAAGGTGTTTTTGGCCTCTGGGGACCTCAAAACAATAAGGTAAATCGGTCCCGGATCCAGATCTTACCACGAGACCTACAATAATAGTTTATTTCCTATATGGGAAATTCACTAATAAGACTGATTACTTCTAAACACAATAGTAAAAGTCCACAAGGAAATGAGTCAAGTAAAGATAACCTAGATAAAATAGTTCAATATCAATGACCCACAACAAAGAAAGTTATTTAGGCCATCACTAAATATATATATATACATATTTACAGGGCTCGATTTAGGATGGCGTGCGTTTACAGACCTCTTTTTTTACAGGACCTTTTAAAAAATTGTACTTTTTCCAAAAAACATTTTTGGCAAAATTAAATACACTTGTAGGTATTTGAAGCATAATGAGTTTCTGAAGGTAAGAAGAAAGTGTTTTCGGAGAATCATAAATTTACTGTAGAAAATAAAATGTCAACGTCCTTACACCGGATCTGTATTGAATTTGTGGAATTAACCCACAAATTTGGTAAGATAAAATAATAGAAAATTGTGTACAATATAATATGTAAACTTATTAGTGCACTGCGAAAATTACAATTTCCTATGTAGGATACACTAGTGTAGATAGTTATCTAAATCATGATGCATAAAATATTCTAAACCTCAATGTTAAGCCTTATCTTTTTGCAGATGATTTAGCAATACAAATTCAAAGTGAGAATTTGCTAAATTCAACAGTAATGGCATACAAAGCAGATATCTTAATCGAAGACTGGTGTAAGGCCAATAAATTGTTTTTAAATATAGAAAAAACTCAAGATTTATATTGTATTAGTTTTAATAATAGGCATAATAAAAATTGTGTAAAATTTTTAGGTGTTTTTATAGAGTCTAACTTAAAGTGGTAAGTCCATATTGATTATACAGCTAAAAACTTAACAAAGGAATATTTATAATAAACATGCTTAAACACAGTGTAGATTTTAATACCTTGAAATGCATTTACTAGGCACATAGCACATATACATTCCCATCTAAGTTATGGAACAATTGTATGGGGAGGTAGTAATTATAAAAAAAAACTTTTGTCATTGCAAAAACGAGCAATAAAAATCATGTACAATGTTGATTTTAGTACACACTGTAAACCATTATTTAGAGAGGCTAATATTTTAACTGTACAAGCAATCTATATTTTAGACTGCCTTGTGTTTGCGAAAAATAGTTTTAGTAAAACAGACACACATGAAAATGTACACAGTTACAACACACGAAACCGCTGCAATTTTATATCTAGACAGTGTAGATTCAGCACCACAGCTACTAGTTTTATTGAAAAATACAAACAGTATTATAATATGTTACCTAATAGAATAAGATGTTTTAATTGTTTTAAATTTAAAATAGTACTTAAAAACTACCTGTTAAACCTGTGTCCATATAGATAAATAGACTTCAAAATGATGTTAAATTAAACCTGAGTTAAAACCTTTAGTTCTAAGACATTTCCTTGACTGTGCCATGCATGTAAACCAGTGTAACGGCAATCAAGCATTCTTATTCTTATTCTATGAAAGTAGGCCTACTCTGAATTGAAGGAGAAAGCAATTATAAAGGCCACTCGACAAGAAATGGGAATGTATTCAGTTATTAAATATATCCTAGACATCTAACTGATAAAAAGAACATTTCAAGCACAGTAGAAAATTTATGGTTCTTTAGTAAATGTGTACAAATTTACCTTTGAAAGAATATTCGAGCTGACACAGAGCATATTTTCTTCTTCAAAAAGTTCAGCCTGAAAGCATATCAAAAGTGGGTTAAAAGTGTATTCCCAGTCATTGTAAAGGTAGGCAACTTGAGCTCTTTGAGGACCATGCACCAATTGGATATTTAACATCGACAATCCAGTGAAGAGAGGTAGTAGGCTTATGCCCCTCAAGCTCTAAATTTGTTTATTCATATTATAAGTAAGTACCATTTTATGGTCAGTTCTGTCCCCTTTTAGCCCATAGGCAATACTAATATAACAGTGATTTGATGGATAAGAAATACCAGCTTTGTCAGCAATGACATTCACATACCTAATAGTTAGGCCTACCAAAATGTCAAAAAATTATTAGGACTTCATTGCTCTGAATGCTTTTATATGAACAATTCCTCCCAACCTTTGGTACTCGCTTCCAGCAGATCGCTCTAGTGGTGTCTAGTGGTGGAGCACAAACTGCCCCTGAGGTCCTGGGTTCAAATCCCATGAATTACCAATGACAATGCCTCCACCCTGTAGGCGTAGCCTGCAAATAATGTATGAAATTGTTCTCCAGCTAGGACGTCTAGCGTCCTAGAATGTGAAGGGGAAATGACCTTTGGAACTAGTTACAGTTAACTTAAATACCGTAGCCTTGAACTTATGTGGAGATAGGCTATCTGGATTTTTACTAAGTCTGGTTCTGTCACAATAAAATATAATCTTTTTATTTTTACATTTTATTGTTAGCATGCTAAGCTTACAAACAAAGATTATAGATCAAAAGTATTAGGAAATAATTAAGTACAGTCCTTTTTTGACTGAAGAAACAAACACTGGCAGGAAGAAGTTAAGCCGGATTTACACGCTACGATAAAACGTAACAATTTGTCAAAACGTTCATGCAAGACGGAACGTGTAAACTGGAAGTCGTTATGTTTTGTCTGAGTTGGAGTGAGGTTGGAAGGTTGGTGGGAATTTCCACCAATTTCTGTAGATCGTAGCGACAAGTTGTTGCGTGTAAACGGTGACTCGGTCATCGCTGCAACCTGTAGACCCTCCGATATCACGTTGGTCCAGTTAATTGTTGTGTAATTGTACTGTGTAGTACCATAGATAAAAAATACTCCCTTAGTAGATTAGTCATCCTAATGGAACAGCTGAAGCCAATTTTATTGTTAGTTCTGTACGTCCAACTATAGAGGTTATGTTTTTTTTACAATTTGTTTCTTGTTATTGCAGTCATTTAAAACCTCGTTTAACCTAATAAAACGATATAATCATAAACAATAACTGGTCTCCTAGTTATATAACCAAATAGAAAAGCACAAATCATGAAAATAACCCTAAAATAATAGAAACAAAATGTTGTCTACACTAGCGATCAGTGTGGACGTACATGAACTAGACGCAAAAAACAAGCTTCAAAATTTACAATGGGATGAGGAGTCTACTTGTGTTGCTTAGTCTATGGTAGTACTGTTGTTTAAACCGCTGTGGTATATTTTGACTGTGTAGTGTAGTGTGTAGGCCTAGTTGATCTTTACTGTTTTGTGCCACATTTGTCACTATGTCACACATAAGTCAAGCCTCTCGTGACTTTTTAATAGAGTTGAGGCCAATGTAGAATTGATCAACAAATATAAAGAAATCAACCCGCCTGCAGACAGGGTGATTGTCGTCAACTTGCATGTTTCAGGTATTATTTTGCAGAGGGATGTTTTAGAAATGAGTGTTGTGAATTCCAAGTCTTTGAAACTTCTGACAGTTGCAAGGAATCGTAAAGTTGCACTGAGTCTTTCATTGGGAGATACTGCCTTTCTAATTATGGTGTTTTTTTTTATATGTGGAGAAACCATGTTTAATACAACGTTGTAGGTATCCTCAGTCATTCTTAAGTTGTTCCTCCAGTCAGGGGGTTCTTTCCTCAACTCCTTTAGCAACTCCACATGAAATAACTGTTTTTTCAGTAGCCATAATGCCGACACCACTTACTTCTAGGTTTTCTTTTCCTCTTGAAACTTGTTGCAACACAAATAATGTAAACAGACCATAACAATAACTCATCCATCGTCAAATATACAGAGAGCCTATTAACTACTTCACAACAAGATACATCTGGGAGTGGTTTGAGAGCCAAAGTTAGAGAAAAAGACGGAACGTGTAAATGGTCTGCTCAACCTACGACAAAACGTAACAATTAGTCGTTGCAGACAATTCGTTATGTTTTATCGGAGCGTGTAAACCCGGCTTTAAAGCTGGCCCAATTTCTATTTCTCTACATCTAGCTCTATCACACACAATCATTAAGTCACTTTTGTGAAATACGTAAATTTGATTTTGGAATAGGCTTCAATAAGGTTGATAGGTAAACAAATAACTGAGTATAAAAAGTCTGATTCGTACAGATATAACATAGAACTAAGTTACTAAACCGGTTCCTTTTTTTAACTTGTGTCAACGCCAGTGGCATAATGAAGTAAATTTAAACGCTTTTAAAGGAAAACAGTCAAACTCATTTTAGTTTTGTGGTTGTGCAATGAATTTAACCCGTCCCTCCAGCACCGAGGTCTGAGACGCTACCGTAACCACTAGGCAACAACACACCCATACCACACAACACAGTCTCCTTTGAACCAATCTTAACATAGAGCTATTTATATAAAACTGATAAAACTGTTTCTTTACTAGCTGGCTCATAAGACATAATAATTTACTAAGTTATAAATTCAAAATAAGTTAGGCCTAACTTACTTTGCCATAAGTAGCAAACTTTCAAGTTATGCGATTCTGGTACTAAGTAATTTATATCTATAATTTTAGCCTAAAATTTCAATAAATTTTAAACAAAGTTTCTAAATTGTATGTCGATGTTCAACACATCGATTAGGCCCTATTCTGGACCTTAAGGAAAACTGTACGGTAAGTTAAGGGTGGGTTGTGGCTGTTAATAGTTCTAAAGGCCTCATAAAAATTAAAAATTCAGAAATATTGGCCAAGTTATTATTTCAAGTTAGTATTAAACTTAATTCCAATATTAACAGTTCTTCTTGAAGAAGGTGGTGTGAGGTACCAAATTTTAAGGGGGGTAAAAACGTATTGCTAGTCAACAAACACCATTACTTACCCGATTTTTATCCACAACATCCTAATCCTAGGCCTATGTGTTGGCCCTAGCTTGGGCTATGGGCCAAAGAACGTAGGCCTACTTTTGATAACAGTGAAGTACACGAACACACCCACAACTACATATTTATTCATAATAGCACTCCGTTTCACATAATAAAGTTAAAACGACCGATTTTACGAATATTTAACGCCGATTACAACATCACTTAACCTCAAAATGGTGTTTGTTGACCAACGACAGACGACAACTAGACCGGCTCAACAGGTGAATTTCCGATCAGCTGTTGGCTAGTTCTCGAACTCACCACCAGAGCGATTAAGCCTCGACCGAGGAAATCATGATTTGAGCCGGACAAGATTATTCGCTGTTCGACCGTCGACTCGTTAACGAGAAGCCTCTTCGCACAACGAAACTAACTTCGTCATACGATATCGATTCAGGTTAGCTACGTTTTCAGACTTTCCTACTTTCTTTTAAATATTCTTTTTCCAACATACGCATACTCGTCTGCCATTTATTTTATCCGTTTACGTTCGATTATAATTTTCTAAATTTTATTAACTTAGTTCTTGCCGACTCGTACAAAACCCGCCAGTTCCTGCCTGCCAGTGACTAGCGGTGGATATTTTTCGGCTCTTTTAAACCAATTGGCTATTAAATTACGTTAATTCGGTTCGTTTCACGATTAAATTATTACTTAAGTTACTCCAGTTAATTTGACGTTTTAATACCCCGAGACTCGTCGTCTGAGTTCTAAACCCCGTCTTTGGCGGGTGAAAGAATCGAGTCTTGGGAGCAGGCTGAGTTGAATAATCAGCTACAAAAATTAGTAGTAAATTTATTTTAAACCACTCACGTTAAATTATCCGTCCAATTATATTAATTAGGCCCCGACGACTCTGTAGGAATTGCTTTTTACATTAGATTCGATTTTATTATCCACCACCGTCTTTAGCCAGATAGTTTACAGTTTAATACGAGTATTTATATCACATTGGCTTAAGATTGAATACTCGTCGGCCCTACAGAGTCATTCTAAAAGTTAGGCAAAATTCTCCAAAACACGTTAGCGAAGGTGAGGATGAAATAGCTCCTACTGAGCGTCTGCAGGATTTCCTGAGCGCTTCTAGAGCTCTGAGCCTTCGATTAAATTTTAAATAAATTGATCAGTCAAAGCCGTGACACCTTCGTATCGACCCCTGGATTTTTCTCGGCTCCTTCTGAGCACTCCGGGGAAGAAATTTGAGTGTGGCCGGTTCTAGGGGTAGGCCTAGCCTGACTTGGTGAATACTAGTTTATTCCCCCCCTAGAATTTTGCGTCACAGTGGATTTATTGAAATGTCGCAGGATCAACTTTACATGAGACTTCAACATAAGACAAAAGATTGTTCAGGGTGTGACTGTAGCAAAACTATTCCTAGTAAAGGCCAATGATTGAAAGTCATGCTTTCCTTAAGTAAATGCTTAGTTAGGTTTAGTTCAGAGGTCTGACCACCGATTCATCTTACACTTTGATTCCCTAATCATATTTTGAGGGGTAACTTAAGTTTGCCTGCCCTTAATTGATGTCAGGTACCGGTACAGTTTCTTTCAGATGAGTTTCTTGGGTCAAATCAAATAAAACATAATTAGTTCTATGCTAATATCGATTAAAACTATTGAATTAAAAATATTTATTAATAATCGATATTTTTAAAAATAGGCTTTCAATTATAAAATTAAAACTGTCATAACCTAACCTAACTTACCAAACTTGCTGATGATGAAAAAACTTACTGATCGAATCAATAAGTTAGTTTCAATCGATATTAGCATAGCCCAGTTAAGAAACTGTACCCTTGATGTCAAGGTATAAACATTCGTTTAAGCTTAGCTCCCTAAAGCACAAAAAGTGAAGGCATTTATTTGGTTTAAAGTACAATAACTCTTTTAAAGGTTAAGTTAGTAACACCATCTATCATGTTAATAGAATAGCCTAGTCCTCTTGATATTATAATAGGCTAAGTTAATTTGTAAAGTTAAAATAAAATGTGAAAAGTCCAATTTTGAAAACCAACAGACTTAGTATTCTCATAATAAAATAAATCAATGAATTCAGTTACAAAGATAGATACGCCTTTAGCGTTCTAGTACTTACAGAGGGACGAGATAAAAGGGCGAGGCGAAGTAAGCACAAGCACGCAGCATGAAGAGAAGACACAAGACAAGACCTCAAGACCACAAGACACAAGGCAAGTCAGCATCAATATTTATTTACGTTTTAGTAAACAAGACAACAGAAGCAGACCATCCAGCTGTTCGTCGTAAAAAACCTCGGTTTTTTCCCTTGCCGAAAAGGTGGTCTGGGTATTTTTACCCATGAGACCTCAATGTTCTCTGTGGTTGTCCATTTTAGGCCCAGGGCACACGGTGTGACCGTTTTACAACTTTCGTTGCAAACCAGTTGCGCGTGCAACTGTATTGAGACCTCGGCAATGTATTGCAGTGGGGAGGCCCACACGACGCAATAGGTTGTATGCGATTTCAAAAAAAGTTTGAAACCAGTCACATACAACCGTGGGCCCGACGTTGCAGACTTCAGTTGCACGAGACCACGGGGTGTTTTTGTAGTGTTTAGTGGTATTTTGGTGGAATTTTGACGGCCGTATAGTGTTTTTAGTGTTTATAATTTCCTATCCGAATAGCTCTAGCTGCTACAAATAGCCTATAACTTAGTACTAAAATTCTTGCTCAAATATGGGTGAACCCAATGCTCTCTCAGTACCCTTGCTGTCTTCGGTATTGATAATAACTAATAATGTCTTCTTCGTCTGAGTCCGGCGTAGTAGCGCACTCAGGGCCTTAAAACAACGTAACTGCACTAAATTTACACTCCACTGATTGCCCAGTAGACGCAACTGTAGTTGTAAAACAGCCACACCGGTGTGACCGGGTGTGACTGTAGCAAAACTATTCCTAGTAAAGGCCAATGATTGAAAGTCATGCTTTCCTTAAGTAAATGCTTAGTTAGGTTTAGTTCAGAGGTCTGACCACCGATTCATCTTACACTTTGATTCCCTAATCATATTTTGAGGGGTAACTTAAGTTTGCCTGCCCTTAATTGATGTCAGGTACCGGTACAGTTTCTTTCAGATGAGTTTCTTGGGTCAAATCAAATAAAACATAATTAGTTCTATGCTAATATCGATTAAAACTATTGAATTAAAAATATTTATTAATAATCGATATTTTTAAATATAGGCTTTCAATTATAAAATTAAAACTGTCATAACCTAACCTAACTTACCAAACTTGCTGATGATGAAAAAACTTACTGATCGAATCAATAAGTTAGTTTCAATCGATATTAGCATAGCCCAGTTAAGAAACTGTACCCTTGATGTCAAGGTATAAACATTCGTTTAAGCTTAGCTCCCTAAAGCACAAAAAGTGAAGGCATTTATTTGGTTTAAAGTACAGTAACTCTTTTAAAGGTTAAGTTAGTAACACCATCTATCATGTTAATAGAATAGCCTAGTCCTCTTGATATTATAATAGGCTAAGTTAATTTGTAAAGTTAAAATAAAATGTGAAAAGTCCAATTTTGAAAACCAACAGACTTAGTATTCTCATAATAAAATAAATCAATGAATTCAGTTACAAAGATAGATACGCCTTTAGCGTTCTAGTACTTACAGAGAGACGAGATAAAAGGGCGAGGCGAAGTAAGCACAAGCACGCAGCATGAAGAGAAGACGAAGACACAGACACAAGACAAGACCTCAAGACCACAAGACACAAGGCAAGTCAGCATCAATATTTATTTACGTTTTAGTAAACAAGACAACAGAAGCAGACCCAGACCATCCAGCTGTTCGTCGTAAAAAACCTCGGTTTTTTTCCCTTGCCGAAAAGGTGGTCTGGGTATTTTTACCCATGAGACCTCAATGTTCTCTGTGGTTGTCCATTTTAGGCCCAGGGCACACGGTGTGACTGTTTTACAACTTTCGTTGCAAACCAGTTGCGCGTGCAACTGTATTGAGACCTCGGCAATGTATTGCAGTGGGGAGGCCCACACGACGCAACAGGTTGTATGCGATTTCAAAAAAAGTTTGAAACCAGTCACATACAACCGTGGGCCCGACGTTGCAGACTTCAGTTGCACGAGACCACGGGGTGTTTTTGTAGTGTTTGGTGGTATTTTGGTGGAATTTTGACTGCCGTATAGTGTTTTTAGTGTTTATAATTTCCTATCCGAATAGCTCTAGCTGCTACAAATAGCCTATAACTTAGTACTAAAATTATTGCTCAAATAAGGGTGAACCCAATGCTCTCTCAGTACCCTTGCTGTCTTCGGTATTGATAATAACTAGTAATGTCTTCTTCGTCTGAGTCCGGCGTATAGTAGCGCACTCAGGGCCTTAAAACAACGTAACTGCACTAAATTTACACTCCACTGATTGCCCAGTAGACGCAACTGTAGTTGTAAAACAGCCACACCGTGTGCGGACAGAAGTTTTGTTTCAGTTGTAAACTGGTTCCAGACGGAACTGGTTTGCAACAGTTGTTGTAAAACAGTCACACCGTGTGCGCTGGGCCTAGTAAACACAATCTTATTTTCCTCCTTCCTCCTTCTCAGTTGGTTTGCAAAAGGGTGCTGTTGGTGCAGTCCAGAGAGGTATCGAAAGCAGGCTTATATTGTATATGCAGCCTCGTTGTGCATTCGATATTAATTTGACGATTCTGTGGTTTGCATCGGTAGGATTAGGTAAGTTTTTTTGTTAATTTTGTTGAGGGTTTTATTACTTTTATTTTATTTTGGTGGCGTTTTTCATTTTTTTTGTAGTGTCTTGTTAATATATTGGATTTAGTAGGATTCTAAGGCCTTGATGGGAATGTTGTGAGAAGGGTTGAGTTGGAGTCTTCTCACTTGAGGGCTGTTAAGCATTTTTATGTATCCCGAAAAGGCCCATGAATGAAGAACCAAAGGATTGGGATGAATTTATATGTGAGTGTTTCGTTATTGTTTTTGGTTTAAAATGTTCTCTTTATGTATATGAGGGAATCAGTGAGTTCTTGATGATAGTGAAGCATGTGTGGTAGGCATATTTCATTTTCTGTAGCCTTCAAGCAAGCGTGGGTACGTTACGTGGTTCCTCTTCCTAAATCTGGCGATCTTGCAGCAACATAAGGAACTTGTTACAGTACTTGAAGATTTCCCACTGGAAGCGTCCCTGCGCCGTGGTCGTCAAAGAAATATTGGCCTTTTCATTCATCTTCAAAGTACTCTGTCACTGTCAGTGAGTAGTATGGCCCCTTCAATAAATAATTCTTGAGTAACGTCTTGAATTTTTCTATTTCTTTAATATTTTTTATTTCAGTTGGGATCTTGCTATAAATTTTGGAGCACATAAATTTAGGGCCATTTGCTACTAAATTGGAGTTTACCTGGGTTAGGTGGACATTTTTACATTGCCTTGTGTTGTAGTTGTGGAATATGCTGCATTTTTTAGGAAAAGTTGTGGGTTCTTCTTTACGCTCAGTGCTGACTCCAGGATAAAAAGTGCTGTCATGGTAAGGACCTTGGCTTCTTCAAACAGTGGCTTACAGTGTGCGAGAAATGGTTCCAAGAAAATAGATCTTATGATTCTTTTTTGTAGGAGAAGTACTCGTTGGGCAGCTGGGCTGTTTCCCCATAGTAGGATCCCATATTTCATGATGCTGTGAAAACAGCCATGGTATAACTTCATTAGTACTTCTTTTTCCAGGAGTGGTTGGAGCCTTTGAACGGGAGCGTTTCATAAACTCCAAATTTCACAAACTCCAACGCTTAAAATATTAAATAAACAGAGTGGTTCATAACCTCCAATTTTCATAAGCTCCAATCTATAACATTCAAATAATCACTGTTTCACAATGTCCAAATTTCACAAACTCAAACGTTAAGATACCAAATAAACAGTGCGGTTCATAATATCCAAATTTCATAACCTCCAACGGTACAGTCTGAGCCAGAAGTCTCTACAGTGGTTGCCACAGTCAGATAGCAGGCACCGTTCGCCAGCGCTCAACTACTGATTAGTGATTATACGTGCATTTTAATGATTGAAGAACACTCAGCTGTGTGACTCAAATATGCGTTAGCACACAATGTGCAAATCAAATTTACATTTTTACTTTTTTAATACCTTTAATTCAAGCTTTCAGCTGAGTTTCTTAACTGTTCCGTCCCTCAATTAAAAAGCCAATTATTACATTACAAATATCGTAAGAGATTTTTTTACCGATGAAAAATTTTAAAACATATAAATATGTTTTATAAGTATATTTTCTAATAGCTGTTAAAATTTCATAATGATTACATCAGTTGTTTTTTTGTTATGTGTAAAATAGCCCTTTGTTAGAAAAGTGCCGAAAACCTTGTACTTTATTCATTCTACCCACTAAAAGGATGAGTTTAAACTACATAAAAAGGTAGAAACTAACATCATTGAGTATAAACCTAACCCGTTAGGTTAGGTTTATACTCAATGTATACAATGAATGTATACAATGAATATAAACCTAACCTAAAAGGTTAGGTTTATACTCAATGCTAACATACATAAACGCAGAAATACATTTTTATAAGTAGGATTTAACTTATACATCATATTGTAGGTATACTGGTCACGTTTCAATAAAAGCTCATACTCGAGTATTTACACTTTTTTACTCGACAGCAGTCTCGTTTCTCTTTGCAACTTAATGTGGCTAGTTCAATAATGTTAAAGTTTTGACAAGGTGATAATTTATATTTTGATTTGCCTTTTCAGTGGAGAGCTAAGCATTGTATACCTTTTATTTACCAATAAAAATGCGTAATCACAAACAGTGGAGTCTTTGACTGTCGTATGAAGTTGTTGTTGTTGTAACGATTATTGCATATTCTATTTAAAAATAGTGTTCAATGTAAATAATTCAACAAGTTATTAGATAGATACCTTTTAAAGTTTTTAGATTCTATTTAGGAAATTTCCCTATAAGAAAGTACATTAGCTATTACCGTAGGTGGCATGGTATGACCTAGGCCCGGGACCGATTTACTTTTTGATTTTGATGTCCCCAGAGGCCAAAAACACAATTCGTTAAATTTGTTATATTTGTATATATATGTGTACAGCTGTCCGTGTGAAAGCATGCATTTTCTAAATTTAAACCGACGACAGTCAGGGATTGCCCTGGTGTCTTAAAATGGTTATTGCGAAAGCAAGACAAAAAGGAAATTTTAGTTTCTTAAATTCAGAGGGTAATTCGGATGAAATCATCACTATTCTTTGGATTATGACTATTTCTCCTTTAAACTTACCACTGATAACTTTTGCTTCAATCATTTTTGGTGTCATTTTTAGCGAATTTCCTTATAGGGAAATAAGCTATTACCGTAGGTGGCATGGTAAGACCTAGACCCGGGATGGATTTACTCTTTCATTTTGATGTCCCCAGAGGCCAAAAACACCATTCGTTAAGATTTTTATATATGTATATATTCAATTCAATTCAAACAATTTTAATTAATGCAATTTTTTTATTAAATACATAATCCCTTGTGACATGCAAAGCACGCGCGGGATGAAAAACATATTTTTCTTAATACATTTTCTTGTTTCTGGCAGAAAAAAGCTCATTTTTCCTTCTTTGTCACTTAAACAGAACAGTGAGTAGACATTTCCTATTGCAACAGTTTTAATCATATAAATAACACTTAGACAAATTAGAATAATTTAATAAGAACACGGTTTTTAGAAAGACAATAAATTCTACATGCAAATATAAATAGTTATTTATCTAAAACAAAGCTAAAAATAAGTTACAGATTAGTTATGCTATATTATGATTGATAGAAAACAACAAAGCATTTGACTTTATCACAGACCTTTTATCATTATAAACTTCATTACCGAACATTTTTACAAACGCATTAAAAAATTTTGGACCAAGACAACAAAACTGATGCCTCTAGACAACTGCAAGAACAATTATACAAACAAGGGTGTTTACGGTACAATAAATTAAATTCATTTTGTAAATTTTCTCGTGATTGATTATAATGTTTTGAGTGAAGTGCTTGATTTGCAATTTGACAACCCTCAAGGAGTGGTTTTGGGCCCCATTATTTTTTTATATGTATAAACGACTTGCTGGAGCTTGATTTATGTTCAAAAATATTTGCCTATGCTGATGACACAGCTCTTGTGTGCTCAGCTTTCAATAAAAGGTCGCTGAAACTAAAAATAAGAAAAGATTAAGATATCAAATTGGCTAATTGAAAACAGATTGTTAATAAACTCCTTAAAATAGAATTGTTTATTTTTCGATGTTTATATATAAACTAACGATGTACGGAGGGATAATGCTACTTGATATTTAGATTCAGTGATATCACTACCGACCGTCCCCCCTCCGCGCCACTTCCGGCGTTCGAGGCCGGGTAGCACTGGTAGCAGTTCCTCACTCCGTATTGCAATAATCCGTATGACAATAATCTCATGAACCTATGAGGATCTGTCTAGATATGATAAAATATAGGCAAAAGTGGTGATAAAGGCAGACACCAACCCGTACAATAGATATAAGATATAGTCCGATACGAAATAATTGTAAGAGTTACTATAAAATGATTGTCAACTGATTTCGTAATGGAAAGTTATATTGCAAAACATGGCATGATACAGAAGAAAATATATTTTAAAATCAGTAAATAGTATTGCAAATACTTCTTTTGGACAGTTCAATAACT